CGCGCCATCCAAATCACCACTGACATTATCGATGAAATCGAAGCATTCGGAGGAAGAGTAGACAGCTGCAGAGATGTTGAATGTGCCAGTGACTTGGATGTTGAAATCGTCACCTTGTACGAAAGAATCGTCAAGGACTTGGATGGAGCTCTTGAAATCGCCAACGAAGCCGCTTTGATCAAATTGGGAGCTGAACTTGACGAAGCCCAATTGGATCATGAAAGATACGCAGAAGGAACCCGGCAATTGTTGGAAGAACTCAGGATTTGCGCCGATGAGCGTGTCTAGATATACCATTTTTGAACAGTTTTTTGTTTTATGATAATAAACAAAATTAAATTGTATTTAGTTATTTAGCTATCGCTTGTCGACATCCAAGTCCCCAAACAAGCAGTGTTTTTCTAAGAGTATTCTTTCTTCTCTATCAAGTCGAAGTTCGTTTCAAATCTTAAAAAATCCATTTGTAATACCAATAGTCCTTCCAAGTTAATACACAGTAGAAAATTTAGAGGCGAAGGAGAGTTGAAAATTAGCATAATTTCTAAAGGATTATTCACCACCACTAGACCATTAACGGAAGAGAAACATAAAGATATTATGTGTTTACTAGCACACATTTTTTCAGTTCTTCAGGAACATTTTAAGAATCTGAAAAACTCGAAATGATAAAAATAGATTACTGTTTTAAAATAATAAATAAATGTTTATTAAGTTTAAAAGTCAATGACAACTTTAAAAAACAAGATTTTCGTATAAAATTCATACAAAATTCCATATTGACAATAAATTTCGATTAATCAACACTAACAAAATTTTAAATAAGTAGGTCGCATAATGTAAAAATAGTTTTTAATTTATTTAAATACAATTTATTAAATATCTTGAAACAAAAAATAGATGACTTAGACCACTTTCATAATTGACTCCCTAGCCGCCCAAAATATTTCCTAAGTTTAAAAATTTCTTGTAAAGGAATCAATGGTTTAATCGGAACTTTAGCCACATTATCAGTAAGCTGATGCTTCCATACTGACTAGTGGAACCCAAATTTCCATATCTCAAGCGGTTCTTTAGCAAAAAGCTTCAGATAAGATTGATATAAAAATACAAAGCCGCCCAAAATTTACCTAAAGTTTCAAACATAAATATAAAAGAACCAATAGCTCAATCGATACCAAATCCACCCTACTTGAGCGTTGTAAGAGTTGATGAATATGGGACTAAAAGTTCTACATAAACATGAGAACCAGGGGCAAAGTGATGCTAAGCTTATTAAAGCTGCGTAGTGCCATCTTATGAAATAAGATAATGTGTTTAGGAAAGGAGGAAATCTCTACCAAGCCAAACTTATTTGAGATCAGCAAAGCAAAGAGAGAGATATTCAAAGAATCAATCCACTTCTCGTCCATCCACAATGCTTGTCGGAAAACAACTCTCAGCTCAAGCTAAAAGATTTATAGATTAGGGATCATTCGTAACCGCTTTTTACAAGCTAGCGCCCCATCCTCCATTTTCTACCTATTAATCCTCAGGAAGTTCACAACACTTTTACAAACTACCGCACTTCCCAGAAAGGTCACAGTGTTAAATATTTCCCATCTAAGAATGCGATTATCGACGGATTACTGACTACAACTTTCCGAGCAAAAAATACACCGAACCATTACTTGTTCGTTGCTCTGCTCTTGCTTGGCAGTTTGATTTCAGTTTGTTTATTGTTGACAGTTTTGAAGAAAGTGCCTGTTCGCATGGTAATATTTCCAAAGGCAAATTTTATGTTTGTGTGAATTTATTACATTATCACTGGCTGTCTGCTGTTTGTTCCTATTTTCAAATCATTTTGTCGCCTTCCAATAAGAATCTACTAATTATTTTTCATCATAGCAAACTATTTTTTCATATAGTCTGTAACCGTGTGCTTCAACCATTCTCCTGTTCTTTGCGTTTTGTTTCCTGCTTATTTTAGACAGTTTACCTCAACAAAAAATCAGGCGTATTGTGTAAAACGGCGTTTTTCTTATTTTGTCGCGAACGTTCATTTGTAGCTGTTTTCGCTGTGTTGTCAAAATGCTGCAGGTAGATATTCAAGGTTTTCGCAAAGGACAAAATACAGTAAAACCAGTTAATACAATTTAATATTGTTTATTATTGCGAAACAAAAAACTGTTCAAAAATAGTGGGTCTAGACACGCTCATCGGCGCAAATCCTGAGTTCTTCCAACAATTGACGGGTTCCTTCTGCGTATCTTTCATGGTCCAATTGGGCTTCGTCAAGTTCAGCTCCCAATTTGATCAAAGCGGCTTCGTTGGCGATTTCAAGAGCTCCATCCAAGTCCCTGACGATTCTTTCGTACAAGGTGACGATTTCAACATCCAAGTCACTGGCACATTCAACATCTCTGCAGCTGTCTACTCTTCCTCCGAATGCTTCGATTTCATCGATAATGTCAGTGGTGATTTGGATGGCGCGCTCTACTTCTTGTTCGGCTTCCCTTTGAATCCTGTCGAAAGCTTCATTGTGTTCCTGGACCAATTCATCGTCAACACGTCTGAGTTCTTCTTCAGCTTGTTGAATGCAACGAGCGATGTCACGACCTGGATAAACAAAATACTAAGATTTTAACAAGTATTGAGCAAATTAAACAGCTACGTACCATGGGGTTCCTGTTCGATTCTCCTGATTTCGTCCTGGATCAAAGCGTTGGCTTCTTGGAGGTCATTGGCAAGTTTTTCCCTGGCATCATCAACCAAGATGCTGAGAGGCGCCAAAAGGTTGCGGATTTCCAACTCGGCTTCTTGTTGACGGACTCTGATGTCTTTCTCGATGGTGTCCCAGATGACATGGAGTTCATCAGGGTTTACCCTAAGGGTCTGAAAATAATTAGGCTCGATATTATTAGAGTTAGGCCACAACTGGAAAAAAGGCTACTTACGGCTGCAGCTGCAAAGGCAGCGAGAGCTGAAAGAAGAACGGCGAACTTGAACATGTTTCTGGTATTTGGCTTCTGATACTCTGAGCTCAAAACTATGAATGAATACAACGGCTAAAGTTTCAGTTTTTATATCCAAATTTCAAGAGCGGACCTTTGATAAACCGAAATTACGATATTTGAATACATCATTGTATTATCACAGGAATCCCAAGTATTTGGCCGAATCTGGAGATCTGAAGTGTTTCAAGTTCACCGTTCTAAAATGCCGGATCTCGCTTGTGCGTGTAAAATACGTAATCTGGAAACAAAGATGACAATTAGATAACCGAGAAACCTTCGGAAAATTTGCTGTTTGAATCAAGTTGAAAACGTTTACAGGAAGAAGAACTATTAAAGGAAAAGGAGAACTTTCAAGAAAAAACGTGAAGCGGCATTTTGGCCATCAGTAAATTATGTTAAAGTGTTTGCAGCAAAGACGCTGACGACTCAAAATTGGGTCCAATTGAAGCTCAGAAAACGAATTTTATAAACCATTTCAAGGCATATAATTTAATCAAATATGCTCAAATTAATTTAGAGCAAACCTAATAACATAAAAAACAACATACATATTTTCTTATTTTCGCAAATTTCTTGACAGTAACTACTGGTCAATTTGTTGATAAGTAACAGGATAAACCATGCCAGATTAATTTAAATAATGCGTATGTTTGTAGCTGGTACGAATCAAATTGACGCATTCCAATAACAAAAAATTATATTTTGCTTTTAAAAGAACAGTTTGGGATGAAGAGGTGTTTCATGCAAACGGCTCTGGAGACCTCAGTTTCTCAATTGGGCAAGTTTTGGTTATTGATGGGAGGTATGCTTTAGATGATATATATTAGAACATGGGTGTTAAAAATCATGTAGGATCTTAAATTTGTTAGAAGAAATACACATACATTTAAATGGTAATTCCCCATCTCCTGTCTTTTTAGATTGTTTTCAAATCTATAACCATCAAGCCTCAGTTTAAGGCTTTAGTTCTTAGTTCCAAAAAGCGCCTTGTGTATGTGATTAAAACTGTATCCGTTTTCTTTTGCTCGCAATCTATCAATGAATTTCGCTTCAAATAAAAACGCTTTGCGTCATTCAGCTTCAAGTTCCTGTTTTCGTTTGTTTGAAAATTATATATTTTTTTAATACTCGCTACCTAAAATAAAAAATGAAAGTTTGAAAATTCACAGAAAAATTCCTGATGAAGGAACAGATTCGAAACCCTCAGAGGTGGATCAACGAAGGTTTCCCCTATTTTGAATAGAGCTAAAGAACCTCTGTTTCCAATTGGTTTAGGAAAAAAGCGACAAAAATCGTTGCGGGTTTGCCAACTTTGGACGAATTTCGAAAAATTCCCTAACCTTTCCTTAAGTTGGCCTTAATGCAAAACTTTCGCTATAAATGGAACACACTTTGCTCGATTCAAATCAAAACCTTGCAAGTTGCTGTCTTCGCTGGTTCGCTGACTCGCTTTCGAAAATCAAGATTGAATATTTGAAAATTCACAGAAAAATCCCTGATGAAAGAACAAATTCGAAACCTTGACAGTGTATAGCAGTTTTTGCCTATTTTGACAGCAGTGAAGGAATCCGTGTCCACTTTTTGTTTAGGAGAAATATGAAAAAAAATCGGGGTTCGCCCACTCGCGACTCATTTTTGGTTAAAATCGCCCAGTTTAAAAAGTTTCATAAAATGCCATAAACATGGTGCAAAAGAGAAACTTTCGCTCTAAATTAAACACACTTTGCTTAATTCAGCGCAAAAACTTGCAAGTTCCTGTTGTGTTAATACTTGCTACTTAAAATAAAGAATAAAAGTATTAAAATTCACAGACTAATTCCTGATGAAGGAACGGATTCGAAACTTTCACAGGTGGATCGAGAAATGTTTCACTTATTTTAAATAGAGCTAAGGAATCGCTGTCCCCAATTAGTCTAGGAGAAAAAAATAAAAAATCGTTGCGGATTCGCCAACTCTCAATGAATTTTGGGTCAAAGTCGCCTAAAATTTCCTGAAGATTGTCTAAAAGCGAAACTTTAGCTATCAAAGAAATACAATTTACTCGATTCAAAGCAAAACCTTGCTAGTCGCTGTCTTCGTTTGTTTGGAAAATTATTTTTTTAAGACTCGCTTCCCAAAATCAAGATTGAAAGTTTGAAAATTCGCAGAAAAATCGGTGATGAAGGAACAAATTCGAAACTTTTACGGGTGTATGAAAGAAGATTTTCCTTATTTTGAATGGAGCTGAGGAATCCCTGTCTCCAATTGGTCTAGGAGAAAAGGAGAAAAATGAAAAAAATCGTTGCGAGTTTGGCAACTCTGGACTAATTTTGGGTCAAAATCCCACAATGTTTGAAAAATTCTCGAAAATTCCCTGAAAATGGTCCAAATGCGAAACTTTCGCTGCAAATAAAACACATTTTGCTCGATGCAGAGCAAAAGTTTGCAATTTGCTATATTCACTTATTTGAAAAGACAATATATTTTTTTAATACTCGCTTCGTCAATTGAGGAATGGAAGTTTGAAAATTCACAGAAAAATCCGAGGAAGGAACAAATTTGAAACTTGCACGGGTATATTAGGGCACTGTTTTTCCTATTTGGGAAAGAGCTCAGGAATCCCTGTTCCCAATTGGTTTAGGAGCAATATGAGAAAAACTTTGCGGGTTCTCATTCGAAATAAATATCCCGGCAAAATCGCCCCAGATTTGAATGTCTACTAAAACTGAATGATTGCGGGAATAGTAGTGATAGTTTTTATCAAGTATTTCACTGATCATTAACAGACACTTAAACTTTCCGCTCAATTAACAAACGTTTCATTCACGTTTTTCATATTTGCGATGGCTTTCAAGTGTCAAAAATTTAGCTGCTTTTGCGTCTTTCTCCTCTTCACTCCTCATTATTTCGCTATTGGAATATTTTTAGCAATCAGATTGGAAATCGTCGTCTACTGCTTCTCTCATCAACCTTGCGTTTTCCGCGAGAGAATTGAGAGGTCAGAGTCGATGCGAAGTTCAAAAGATTCTTAGCATTCTTCTATATCTGGTCATTGCCGAAACATTAATTCTCCATCGGAAATAGGCATGACCCTGCTGCTCTTACCGCTATTATTTAAAATTGTATTCGTATAAGTGAAGTCTGAGACCATAAAACACGTTAAATAGGTGGACATCGATACATTGAAAGTAATCAGCTCGTTTCTATAGTCGTAATCTTCATTTTCTGAAATTTGGTTAAGGGTTAAAATTATTGAAAAATTCCGAGAGAAGACTGAAAGCGATGTAATTTTCTTCCTTCGGCTTCAAAAGGTGGACGATGTATTGGGCTTTCATGTTTAGCTCGTCCAAGCATGGAAACGCTTGCCGGGCATAAGTGAGCTCGAACTTGGAAGTGGCAATTGTCCCAAAAATGCAGAAATTTAGATTTATAAGATACTACGCGGGTTTTAAATTGCTAATGTTAAAGTTTCAACTTTCAGCAAAAGATTAATCTTGAATTTTCGCGAGTTGCGTGACAACTAGAAATATTTTTACAATGATATTTGGCATAAAAACACACGCAATTTAACGCGCTTTCTCACAATAAGAACTAGAATTTACTAACTCAACCGGTTCTCTAAATACGAGCCAACGAATACGTGCAGTTCTGACTAGCATAAGTCTTGAATTTTCGCGTATTGCGTGAAAATTAGAATCTTTTTAGAACGATATTTGGTATAAAGAAGCACACAATTTAACGCTCAATCTCACAATGGAAACGGGAATTTCGTAGCTGACCCGGTTCTCTAAATACGAGCCAACGAATAGGTGCGATTCTGAAGACACGCATTCATTTTGAATTTTTGCATTTTGCGTGAAAACTTGAAACATTTTCACAATTATATTTGGCATAAAAAAGTACGCAATTTAGCGAATGAAAACCAGAATTTCCTAACTCAACTGGTTCTCTAAATATGAGCCAACGAATAGGCGCGCGCGGTTCCAAAGACTCGCATTAATTTTAAATTTTCGCATTTGGCATCAAAACTAGCAACATTTTCAAAATGATGATTAGCAAAAAAGCATGCACTTTAACGCTTTTTCTCGCAATGAAAACTAGAATTTGCTAACTCAACCGGTTCTCTAAGTACACGCCAGGATGTTGCAATCGAAAATACAAACGACTTAAATATCTATTTTGAAGTGGTGGTCTTCCAACTTTAAACTACTTTTGTGACTTAAAAGTTTGCAATTCTATTTTGTACTTTCTTATTCACTGGCTTTTCTATGCGTAGTGCACCCTTCGAGGAAAACCACTTTTTATTCTCTTGTATTATTGTATTGTAAATAACATTTGGAAAGCCTGATTCAGTGCTCTCACTTTATCCACAACTATTAGAGAGCATTTCCTTATATTAAATGTAAATATTGAATACAAATCCATGTGAAGTTTCTAATGAACTGTTGACAAACCGATTCTATGTTCTAAAACCTAGACAAAGAATATTCACAAAATACTTGAAAGTAGCCCTCAGATTGTTTGCTGTTGGTAACGTTGAGGAATTTCATTCTTAAATTAATAATGCGAAATATTCCTCAAGTCAAGTGCTCCAGTTATCCAGTGCGTGTTACAATTGTGTCTCAAATTCCTTTGATAAAATAATTTGCTGTGATTGATAACATTCCAGCGCTATCTGCATGCGCTCAGCCTCTCGACATGTGAATATAAAATTACAACCGGTCCTTCTTTATTCATTAACAGTTCTGAGCTAAACCTGAGCGCAAGAAACAAAGCTGCAAAATGTTCAAAGTCCTCGTCTTCCTTTCAGCACTCGCTGCTTTTGCTGCTTCAGCTGTAAGTAATAAAAATAAATAAATACTATGGGTTCTACTGTAATTATTTTCAGAGCCTTAGGGTGAACCCTGATGAACTCCACGTCATCTGGGACACCATCGAGAAGGACATCAGASTGCGTCAACAAGAAGCYGAGTTGGAAATCCGCAACCTTTTGGCGCCTCTCAGCATCTTGGTTGATGATGCCAGGGAAAAACTTGCCAATGACCTCCAAGAAGCCAACGCTTTGATCC